ATAGGAGTCCTCTGCCTTGTTCCAGTAAGCGGGCTGGGGGCTGGCCGAAGAGACACGGGGAAGCTGGCTTGTGCTGTGTTTCCAGAGTTGTTTTCCTTCTCTGCTTCTGCTCCCTCAAGGGCTAGAGCCCCCTCTGGGGGCTGTTAACCGTGCCATTAAAGGTTCGTTATGGACTGCCGCTCTGTGTTTCACCACAGCAGTGGTGAGAAGATAACTGCGTTAGAAAGCTATGAGCGTTACGCTTTACGTGGATCAGTAGTACATGTATATACCAAATACTCTACTTTTTCCATATTACCACTGAAGGCTTGCAGCAGAGATTCTTTAACGAGCAGTCAGATTATTAAGACTTTATTGTTCTGTAAAACGTCAGTTTAATGATACGTGGCATTTTAATGATATATTAGATGGCCAACGAATGGGGAAAGACTTCTTTGCTATAGCAGAGTATAATAACTAATTTTTTTTCTGAGGCGCTTGAGAAAGTTTACCTAGATTTTATTTTCTGTTGGTTATCTAAATATGAGGTATACTGCATCAGAAGATTTGTATCTCAGGTGTTGTGTTGGCTTTTGGTAATAATAAACAAAAGCCATGTGATCTTGTTCGGTGCTCAAGAAAAATTTCCAGTCTTTCGTAAAGCTCCAGGTCAAAGGGAAAGTACACATAAAGAGACCTCTGATAACGTGACGTTAAGATGACTCAGACTGTCACTCCTTATATTTCCAGCAATGTTTTCACAGTGAAAACATTAGTAGCTACGGTTGTACAAAGGAAACATTAAAAAGATTTTCCTCTGGAGAGAGCAGTGGTCCAGGAATTGTTTATGGTCAGGTTTTTTAGTCTTGGGTAGAAGTCCAAGAGTATGGTAAAAGATGAATGCAGAGAACAGTTTCTGCAGTATTTTTTGCAGGAGGGTGAAAAAGGTAAAGAGCGTACAAACGTGCACGCTCTTCTCTCAAAAACAGCTCCTTCTCAGATAATTCTTCTTAAATTATTTTTCTCTATTGTGTTATAATAAGCCCATGCTTCTGGGTTTCCCAAAATGAAAGACTATGTTTACTTTTTTTTTTTTTTTTCATATACAGCGTGTACCACTAAAACAGAAATACTCAAAATATTTGCCATGAGGTATGTTAAAAGCATTTGTGTGACGTGCTGGAGCACAGATTTTACACTCAAGTACTAGATGTATTTTGTTCCTAGTATATTTAGGATAATGGTTTTAATTGAGTGTGTACTAGGTGGGATTTTGATATTGGAAAGTGGACCACTACCAAAAAGCAAGTATTTGGGTGGTAATACTATGCTGGACACATGCATAGCCTTAACTCAAGTTTCCTTGACTTTTAGAATTGCTGCTGAAGAGTTGCTTGACTGATATTTCTTCAGGTTTAAGAAGTGTGTTTCATGCAGAAAGAACACATGTAATTATGGTCCAGTAAAACTGCGTGAACTCTGGAATTCAAATTCAATTTTAAACATCCTTCCCATTTTCCAGAAGACAATTGTCTCTTGCTTTGTTGCTGGGCAAGTTCAGTGCAGCTATTTGGCTTAATCTGTAAAGAGTGGTTTGGCTCCTCCCCAGTCGAGGGTAATTCAAGGTCTGGCGTGCAGTTGGACCTACGAAGTTGACATTAAAGAATTTTCGAAAGAATTAAATTTCATCTCTAGGCAAGTGTGCAAAATAATCCTGCCAAATGAAATACTACTGTTCTAGGTAGTGTCCTACCAGCAAGCTAATGTGTAATGCCTCTTTCCTAGAAGATGCAGCATTGGAGTAAAAAGCATCTGTAAGGGTTATGTAGTCGCAGTACGTTACAGGTCAGTGGTTCAAAGGAAGGAAGACTATAAATAGTTTGAATAGTTATTTTGACTAGTATTCCCATAAAGAATAGTTATTCTTTGTGTTGGCTCGAGGATCTGTGTTATACTCAGATTTCTTGTATGGACCATTAATTCACTTTTTGAATGCATTGAACTTTGGAGATTTTTTTAGGCTTATTTGTGTGTGTGTGGACTTGCAGCTTTCCTTTTGCAATTTTTCTGGCCAAGCTGTTGGTCCTTCCTCTGGTGAGGTGTCCAAAGCACTTGGTGAGCTGCTGGGCAAACATGCTGACCGGAGGGGTCAGCTGAGCAAAAGATGGTGCTCTCTCCTCTTTGGAGAGAGATGTTGCAAGGCATCTGAGGCAGCCTTTTATCCTCACCAGTGGCACACTGCACGCCAGGCAAAGAGAGACGAGCGAGAAACAAGAGCAGAGTGATTTGTTTCAGGGTCACAACGCCCGCTGGACATGCAGGTCCAAAGCGATTGCCTTCCGTAAGATGGCAGGGTATGCTGTTCTGTTAGACTCTCAGTAACGCTTCTTGTCAGCCCTCTTTGTCTGTAATTTGACCTGAACTGTATTTTGCTGCTTGCTAGGCAGAGTAGTTAAAATTAAGAGAGAAAAAAGTGAACTATAAAGGAGCTTAGCAAAATGATGAATCATAAACGTTGAATGAAACTCCATATATTTGGCTCTCAGGCTCTTGAAGTTCTCACAGGCATGTTGATACTTAGAGTTTGGCTGCAATTCCCCAACCTTTATTGTGGCTAAAAAGCATGTGAGAAGTCTGTGAATGAAGAGCTGAAGTTAAATGTAAAAATGTGTGAACTCTGAATGCGCTTCTCTCTTTCTAGCTGTAGGCTAAATCTTTTGAAGAGCTTAAATCAAATTCTTTAAGGATGCCCATTCAGTCAGTCCCTCTGTTGGCAAGATATTCTGTGGGTTGCTTGGAATTGTTGGCAGCTGTCTAAAGCTTTTTTTTTCTTTTCTCATTAAAATTAATGGCAGATCTTCTGTGTGTTAAGACAGCTTTGAAGAATTACTCTTGCCTCTGGAAACACTGACTAGCAGCAGTTGTTTGTAGAGCTGGATGTGCAAGTCAAATACATTCACTAGTGCATTCAGATAATTAAATATTTTGATTTCTTTCTTTCTTTTTTTTTTTCCTCCTTTGCTAAGTGTTTCTTCATGCTTTTGGCATGTTTTGTTTTGTGAAACTTCTAAACTGTATCTAGTACAGCTTATGAAGAAGTACGGTGTTCACTACTAGCTTATTGTAGTTGCATTTGGAGGATGTTTGTGTGTTTATTTTTTGTAGTAGGCTAATCTCAGTGCTGTAACACACTTACGCTACTCTAGACAAATGTTCATCTGTAGAGTCAGTGAATGCAATGGTAGTTCTTTTGCCCTTCCTTCTGCTGCTGATCTGTGAAGGCATTGTAAGGGCAACGTGGTGGGAGGCTTGGAGTGCAGCCGGTTTGATATCCAATCATTTATCCATCTTTACAGTTTGGAGAACTGTGCACTTAACGTACTTTGGCTAGTTTAGGCTGGGATCAAGTGAGGATGAGTTAGCTAAAGCTTTGCCAGAGAAAGAAGGAGAAGGTGCTGATTGTAGCAGGTAACTGGCCTGTGAAAGAGGTGCCTCTTTACTAGCCCTAGATCGTGAGTCAAGTGTTAACTTGAGAGCGACTGGTACTAGATAGTAACTAAATCAGTGCTTGAGTGCACGCTGGTTGACTGTTATCCCTAGTTACGTCAGATAGGTTACTGTGGCATAATATGCGCAAACCATGAAGTAAACCATGTTGTCTTTCACAGAAACTGGAATAACATCGTTACTTTTCATTAGGGAAGTAAGACTTTATTTAAAAAAAAAAAAAAACATTTAAAATGTGTAATTGCTCAATGAGTCCCTCAGGTGTTTCTGCTAATCAGATCCTGTAGCATTACAAACATTTCTGGATAATGCTGTTTTAGATTTAATGACAAATCCCAGTAGATGATTACGTCCGTTGTTGTAGCTAGCAGTAACGCTTCCTCAAACACTGGATTGATCAAAGAACGCGTGGCCCACCGTTCTGCTTACAGCTTGCTGAAAAAGCTGCAGAAGTTTCCTGTGCTTTGGAAAGCTGTAGATGTCTGACTTCTGTACGAAAAGAGTTGCTAAGAGTTAGTGCACTGTAACTTTAAAATCACCATCTTGCATACATCTGAACTCTTGACACCAAAGTAGTAGGTATCAGTACTTAGTCGTGGATGCTTTTTACATAGCCAATTCTGGACAGCGTCACAAAACCAAACTGAGCAGTGCAATGCAAACACTCTGATAAGAGTCTGTCTTTGGAATTTATAATTATAATTTTCTGCTTTTATTAGGTTAGTTGCGAAAGCCTCAGAGGCAGGAGTCAATGACTTGAGAGCCTCCAGCCAAAGGAACTGTTGGTTCAGTTTGGAGTTTACAAAGCCATTACCCCTGGCTGGCATTTCTGTGTATGATTTCTTTTACTTGACATGCAAATCATCATAGTTTGAAGCTGGGTTTGTCTTTCAGAGTTTCTAAAACAGCATAACGTACCTCCTTCCAAATAGGTTTCAAGGGAGTAGGATTATATCACTAAGGACTGAGATTTTATAAGGCCCAGACAGCTGTTAAGTTGGTATATTCAGATTGTTGTAAAAGTCTGCTGGGGATTTGTGGTAGCAAGTATGCATCAAGATTAGAAAGTCTGAAATGAGCGTGTTCCGGGTGTCCCATGTTTGACTGTTGTCAGGTAATCCGTGTTAGGGAAACGATTTTCTTCAGCTCTGTAACGCTTTACTGGCATCACTTAATCGCTTGTTGGGTTCAGGAGTCTTTCTGGGGAATCTCTACAGTTAGAAATGGAGGGAAAGATTTTTAAGGCTGTTTAAATTAATTTTGACTCTTTATTCAAAATTAAATAAGCATTGACGATAAGCCACCAAATTATCTTCTCCTGTGTTTACTGTATTCATAGTTAGTAACTGCTTTAAACTATAGAGATGCTTTAAACTGCTTTAAACTTCTATAGAGATGGAAAAGTTCAGCCTGGCGTCTGGCATCCCTTTCTACTTAATGCTTAAGATTTTGTGTGAGTGTGTGTGTGAACAAAATGCTGTTGTTTAACTCTCTATTTTTATTATTCACAAAAGGTGGAATATATGTTAGTAAAATTTGACCATGAGAATAAGAAGGTGCGCTTGGTGCTATGTGGTGAAGAAGTTCTTCAAACGCTGCAAGAGAAAGGCGAAAAGATAAACCCCAAGTGAGTAGCTGTTTCCTGGACTGGTTGGTTGGTTTGTTTTTTGTTATGACGCAGTGCAGAATTTTGTAGAACTAACTGTACTTTCAAATCTGCTCTCAGTAAAGTTGTAAGCCACAGATATTCAATGTTTTCAGAGAAAACTGGGGCACAGCGAAGTGGAAGACTGTAAGCACACCTGCAAGAGGTCCAGGTACCTTTTGTGTTACACCTTGGGAACAAAAAAAGTAACGATGAACCCATGGAAGTTTAGGTGTTTGTTTTCTCTCTGCTTTCATATCTATATTATCACAAACGGTGGTGATGTCCATCTGACTGGCAGATGTGAGACTGTTGTGGCCGTCTTTTTAACCTTCACCCTTAGTTTCTCCAGGGCAAGAAAATGAAAACCAAGATTAGAGAGGTGGTTTCTTCTGCATTTTTCTATGTTCTTGCTACTGTCTTCTGGAGAATGAAAAAGAGGGGCAAACAGGTGGTCTTAACTGTCAGGGAACAAAAGTCAGTGCGGAAGAAGGTCCCCCTGCACGTAGTCTTTATGCCTGACATAGGGCATCTGAAAAAAAAATAGCTCTAGAAAATAATTAGATCATATTGCTAGTTAAAGTAGCCAGAGAATGGTGAATTGCCTCTTAATTGGCAGCAGATCTGTTTTTCCAGGAGAGAGAGAAATGAGACTGGAGATAATAGTGTGTTGGTTGAAAAGAGCCAAAAGCAGGTCACATATTTCAAGAAGTTAGAGAAACATTTCCCTAGTGATGATAGGCCTTTGTGCCCTGGGCCTCTCGTCTTCCTCCCAGGTACCCTACGCCTCTGCTTTCCAGTAAGGCTTTCCTGTATTTCTCAATGTATGTCGGAAAGGGAGAATACTGAAGGGGCAGAGTAAAGGATTGCCCTGCTTTTAGACTTTGTATTTGAAATTCTTACCACCAGAAGAAGGACTGGTAGTGGAAAATTCTGCTGCGTCTTTGGACAAAGCATGCTCCGTGGAGATGGGGCGGCTTGTCAAGGGAATTGGGAAGTTTCATTTTCCTGGAGTGAATACATGCACTCACTCATTTTCTTTCTTAAGCTTACACATTTTTTTTGAAGCACGACCATGTTTTAACAGGAAGGTAGAAAAAAAAATTAAGCATAACCTTTGCCTTGCCTTGTATTGTGGGAACAGCTAAACATTTTGTTTTACCAGTTTCAGCTAAAACCTCCCCCAGAACAAAGCGTGAGCCAGTTACTGAAGGTGATTACAGTTTGACACAGACTTTTTTTTTTTTTTTTCTCCACTATACAGCAGCACTTCAAGTGCAGAACTGTGCCTTAATTTCTTTTAGCTTTCCCAGTGGTCTCCCACTGGAAAGTCTAATTCCACAAAGTAATCAGCTTTGTTAATAGCTAATCTTTCTTACATGTTGCATTCTTTTCTGAAACTCATGCTAATAATTCATCTCTTTTGCAGTAGTATAAGTGTTTAAACTAGGCTATTGTTTTATTTAAGTCACCCAACGCTCTGGCGACCAGAGTATGGAAGCTATATGATTGAAGGGACACCTGGGCAGCCGTACGGGGGAACCATGTCTGAGTTTAATACCGTACAAGACAACATGAGGAAAAGAAGGCAAGAGGCTGCTTCTGTACTTAAAGAAAATGAGGCCGTTTGCACTGTGACATCGTTTCCAAGGTTAGATTGTTGTTTGCTTGAGAAATGCGAGGCTGTGTAGTGGTGAATGTTTACGCTTTTCTCCTTATTGCTATATAGTTGTACTGCACAGTGAAACTGAGCAAAATATGATTCGGTTAAAGTAATTTAACTTTAAAGTTCTTGTTTCCTAAAAATCTTTGTCCTCATGAGACAGAAAGAAATCAGTATCTTTCTCTTTTGTAGCTTACTTTTAATCTATTATGGTTTGGTATTAGAAGTCCTGAATACTGAAAGCAAAGTATCGTGAAGAAGTTGGTAATCTTGAATTGGCATGGCAATTCGTATATAACAAGTTTCTCTTTACCTACTTTTTAGGTTTTGATCTTTATAAGTAGCAGCTTTGTAAAGTGTGACTAACCTGATCTAATTTTTAACGCTAGTTATTCACTAAGGTACACGCGCATGCTGCTTTTGGTGGCTTTGAGCACACAGTAGAAGGGGACTGTGGTTATCTTTACGGAATGAAAACCTACCACCTCTATAATCCTATATTTATTGAATCTGAAAAGGAGCGCCTTTCCTAAGTTCATAACATCCTGACAAAAGATAATTTCCTCCCCTTGTTGTTGTAAAAAGGCTATTGAAGAAATGATGAAGTTGAGCATGTACTGCGTTGCCTGGGAGAAACCATACTCTGTGACCTTCCTTTCAAACATCTTTCTAAGCAGGAGTTTAGTATGTTCATTGTTACTAACTTCACCAGTCAAATGAATGAGGATAATTATGCTTAATATAGTAAGAAATTGTTCCACAGTGGAAACAGAAGCTATTTCAGTTCAGCTGGTCTCGGTGCCTGGTTTCTGGTATGGTACAGAATGCAGTGGCTCCAAATTCTTGCTCAGAGCACGCGTGGTACAAAATGTGACTTAGCAGTGAAGTTCATGCTCTTGTACGAAAACGCCTGAGTTACGCCCCCATGAATGCTCCTTTAAGAACACTGACAAAACATGTTCCTTCCTACTGTGAACTGTACCAGATATCTCCGTACTAATATGAGCTTATATAAAGCAATATAGTAAAGAAACTCTAAATACATTACAGAATTGGTTTTTTGCCCTGCAACCTTAACAAAATTTATTAACCCGTATAATGATTTTGTAAGTTTTCAGGCACAGACTTGTGCTGAGTAAATAAGGAGAGGGGGGTTCTTTATCATGTTAGAGATACAGGTAAATAGTTTTTACGTGGCTGAAGAAAGCAATATATGGAACTTGATTTAGAGAGAGTCAGTAAATAATAAAATGTACAAGCTGTTTATGACTTAAGAATCATCCTAAGCATGGCTTCCTCTTCTCTAGGCTATTTAATTTCTTATTCCTGCTTCTTGCCGTTCATCCTGACTTTCAAATTGCTTTTGTTTGTTTGACTGAAACCCCGTTAAATTACTTTTCTGAGTGTTTTTTTGGTTGTTACCTCTATAGTGACTTATATTTAAAAAAAAAAAAATCCATCTAAATGGAGAAAAACTCTTTTGTATAGAGTGCTGAAAAAGAGGAAGGGTAAAGAGTGGGCTTATGCAAATTAAAATAACTAAATTTAGTTTAAAATAAATGACCCTCCCCTCCAAAAAAAAAAAAAAGCTTGAATATTAAAAATACACTGGTGGTTAGGCACTGACGTTGCCTGTTTTTTCAGTAGCTGAAGTGCTGAATGGCTGGGATTTTCCTGAGATGTCGTTGCAAGTCACTGTCCAACTGAGAAGTTAAATCAGTATCTCCAGTTTTTAAGTTTGTGAGCCCTTGCCACTGGGCCAGCAAACAATATTTTCTTGAAAACTGTAGTAATGAATTTTGTATAGTTACACAGGTTCTTTATGGCTTATTATGTAAGCAATGAAGCTAGTTAGGACAACTAATAAGACAGCTTCTTTATTTAAACCAGGAAGAAGAAATTCATATTGAAATATGTGTTTAGCATAGGTAGTATTTCCAGAAATGTGAGTCTGTTTCCTCGTATCTCCAGAGGCTTGTTTGTATCTATTATCAGCTAACCCTTTTTTAAAATCCAAATATTGTGGCCTCTCTAGATAGTGCAGTCTTTGTCCTATATGCTATGTAGCATGGAGAAATTCATCTTCTGCAACTTTACTTCCATGTTCTCTAATGCTCCTTTGTCGCGGTTGGGCTGCGAATCTACTTACTCTGGTTTCCAGTGACTCTTGAACTTTCAACAGAGGTTCCAAAGGAGAGAGTTTTATTTTGGTTTACTTGCACACCTCTCAGCATTTTGTGCTTAATAGTTGTAAATTTCCCCCAGGTGGGACAGTTTTAATAAGCAAGGAGAAGTTCTTCAGAGTTACAAAATCACAAACTGTGGCAACCCCTGTGGGTTGTGTGTAGCGCTTGAAATGACTTTAATTCTTGTGGGGCAGATTAGGTAAGGTTTTTTTTAAACAGAGGTAGATTGCTGGGAGCAGAACTGGTGAATTTCTTCAGGAATCAGTATTAACCAGTACTCTTCAGAGAAACAGTATAAGGCACAGAGCGTTGCTGCATGTCAGGATTGACGGCAGGTACTTACGTACTAATATGTGTGTGCATCCTGTGCGCAATACTGCAAAGTTTTCTGCTTCAGACACTTAAAAGGTCCATGTTTAGCATCCACTGATAGACTAAAGCGGTGTGTGTAGGTGTGGTGTTGTGTTTTGGTTTGTGTTTGTGTGTGTTTTTTTTTTTTTCCCCCCTCTGTTCTAACCACCATAGAAGCTAGTTGTTAGCAAGCACTGGCTTTAACAGCAGCTGTCTTAAGACTGCTTTCTGGCAATTCCAGATGCTTAGGTGAGAGGGTTGCAAAGCACCTCAGAGATGCTCAGTAACACAAGCCTTTAAAAAACTTTTAATTCCTTTCTCTGCTAGAATCCTAGTTATGGCTTGGACTCATGTTATTGTGTGATACAGGCTAGGGTGTCCTGGATTTACGCTGCCAGAATGTGAGCCAACACCAGTAGAAGGAGGAGCTTCAAAATCCCTGTTTTTTCCAGATGAAGCCATCAATAAGCATCCTCGATTTAGGTAAGAGTATTTGAGGAGTGGGAAGGAAAAACCCAATATCTTTATTTGTATACGTTTCATATGCGTACCTGCCCCTCCTTTACACTACTGAAATAGAGATTTGCATGACTAGTTGCTGTACATATCCCAAGGAGATGGAGAGGTCTGTGACGTAAATTTTTTGTCAGAGTGACTTTAGGTAAACTGTTAAGTAACTTTATATAGGAGATGATGCCATTATGGGGCTAGTGCTGTTGGTTTGCTACTGCACAATTGATTCCAGTTTGAAATCCCATAGGTAAGCACTTTTACCACAACTGATCCAGCTTTCACTCAGGGACGTCACAACACAGTTTGTTCTGGAAACATGACGGTGGTACTAAGCTCGTTCTAGGTACCCTGGAAAACGGGGCATGGTGTCAAACTACATGTGTAGTTCTAGAAGGTTTTCTGATTATAGAATATAAAGACTTAGGAGAGCTAAAAATCATTCTAGCTTGAAAACTAAGCAGGCCTTTTCACTTGCAGCTTTCTTCTTCAGGTCTGCGGCCTTTTAATTCTGCCTGTTCTATCAGCGTAGTACAGTGAAGTCCCTCAAAACAGGACTGACTTTACTGAAGAAAAATTTGTACATGTTGTATTTGTTATAGCCTATTGTAAACTAAGGAAAGAGGGATCCTGAAGGAGAATGCTGAAAATAAATGAGACAAACTGACATCCTGTGAAAATTGCTGAGAAAGTAAATGTGAGAATATATTTCAGCGAACTCTTTTTGTTTTAGTACGCTGACCAGAAATATTCGGCACCGAAGAGGAGAGAAGGTTGTGATAAATGTACCAAGTGAGTGAATTCAATTTGTTTTCTCTTTTTCAAAATAATTGTTCAATCTGATACCCTGGGTTACTGAGTACTTGTATTTTCCACACAGTATTTAAAGATAAGAATACACCATCACCATTTATCGAAACATTTCCTAATGATGATGGAGAAGCAGCAAAAGCAGCTAAACCGGACTTTATATATATGGATGCTATGGGTTTCGGCATGGGAAACTGCTGTCTTCAGGTAAAATGCATCTGCTTCTAAGGTGTAACAGAGTATTGTCTGCCTTAATCTGTTCCCTTTTTAAGACTTGCCTTTTCCCTAATCTGTCTAGCTGAACTTAGTTGATGAATTTTCAGAGCAGAGGCTAGGGGAGTAAAACAGACTTTATCTTGCATATGGTAACGTGTTCTTAAAATCCAGATTTGTTTGTTTGTACTCTGGTTTCTTTTCTGCTAACTTTGTAATGTACTTTCATGCCTTGCCAAAAGAGTTTGCTTGATCCCCGAATGGGTCAAATCCCATTCATTTGATCAAGCACCCTCCCCTGGCACTCTGCCATCTTTCAAGAGTGAGAGATCAGGACAGAAGATCGCTGTCCTCTTGCTTCAGTCTGTAACTGAAGGATGTTGTCGAAGTGGAAGCTGAACTTTCTTGCAGGAGTGTGGTGGTTTTGTTTGGTGTGGTGTGGGTGGATGTGTTTTTGTTGTTGTTTGTTTTTAACCTTTCCTCGTTCTGCAAAGCAAGCAATAACAAGCCATCTTAAATTGTGTGTTACCTTTAAAAAAAGAGTAGTAGTTTTCTCCCTCAATGTTATTTTATTTTCTTTACAAATAGCAGTAATTCATGTATAAAATGCCTTATCCTTTCATGTTTTTAGCTATCTACTAAGAAACTCTTTTCTCATTGCTTGCCCCATGAGCCTACCAAACCTATGTGGGTAGTAGCTGTCTTCTGTTAGTGTGTGGTGGGAGGCATTTTTGTTTCTGTTTTGTCCCTTTAATGCATGCCTTCCTCCTACCGTTCTCTTTTCTTTGCCTGAGTTACTAGTAGCCTGCAGTATCCTAAGTTTAAGTCCAAGTTTTGTATTTTGAGAGAGCTTTAGTCCTTTCAAAATCCGTTTGTTTTAAAGGTTTATCTATTAATAGCAACCTGACGCTAGGGCCTGATGGCTTAGGTAGTAGCATTGTTGATAACATCTGCCTGTTGCCACTGCTGTCTTGGAAGCAGAAATAGGAAGAGGCTAGTGCGTTAAGTCTCTAGGAGATTAAAGGCAAGTTCTTCTTGTTTCGCAGCATTGGTTTAAATAACCCCTATTCAAAACGCTTCTCTTTGAGATTAAGAAACTAAAAAAGCTGAATAAACAAAATGCTCTAGAGAGTGGCTAAGGGTGATTTCCCCTCACGAAGGGTAAACTAGGGAGAATCTGATAAAGTAGCATAGTGTATACAATACTGCATGTTTTTACATGATACTAATTTTGATATGGCCTATTTCTCACCATCACTATTTCTTGTCTAAGACCAACAAAAGAAATACAACCTTACCTTTCAGTCCTCATACGAACTTGTCTAAAACTACATTAAATTCCTATTTATGGAATACCATGTAGGTATTCACCATGCTCATAATCAGTGATCAAATTCAGCAGTCTTATTGCCAAAGGGAGAATGAAAATAAGCTGGTAGGTGCTGTGAGCAACTGCTTCTGTATTGACTATTAATTCTCGATAGCTGACTAGAAGAAAATGTGTCGTCTTCTGCCTATTTTTGTAGTAGGTGTACTTCCTTTTTTTCATTTTCTCTATATGCTCTAAGGTTATAACTTGGTTAGTTATATTTTCAAGGTCCAAAATAACGACTCCTCAGTTTTTTCCGGATTGTCTGCAATTATAGTGCAGCGCCAGACAGAGTGGAAGACTGTTCCCTGCAAATGGCTAGGCCAACCATAGTACTCCTGCCCTTTCTGAGGCTCCGTGTCCATATGTATTCTGAGCTTTGTGTTCCTGTAGCGCTCTTCTGGAGAAGACTCTTTTCACTAAGAGGATGTTTGGCTTGGTGTCCGAGTCAAATCCCAGATTTAATGCAATTTAGGATAAACATAAAGGGGAAGGGGAGGAGCATATAGATATGTCAAAAGAAGGATGTGTTACTGCACCCCAGTTCTGGAAATCCAAAATTAAGCTTCTCTGCAAGAGAACTATAGCTGCATCTTTTCAAAGTGGATGTTCTCTGATAGCTAGGTGAAAGATGGACAGAGAAGAAATATTGTCCTTGCCCCACCCGCCTTTTCTAATTTTGGATGCATTCTCTTGAGGAATGTTGGCTATAGACTGGAAAAAAGAAAGAAAAAGAAATATGTCCCGCTAAGCTTAGGAGATTTTTTTTTTTTTGAAGTTTATTTGGAGGGTGGGGTGGGCTTCAGTGCTAGGTAAAGGATTGAGAAGAACATACGCATGTCACAGGGCTTATTAATGGTAATTTCTTCAAGTGTTAAATGTGTGTTTGGCTGGTATTTTTCAGAACGATCAAAAAGCAACAGTGATTTTAGAGCTGAGGCCTGTTGCATAATGTCATGACAGTGGTCAAGAGGTTCCATCCAACTTAAATTGTCCTATGATCTTTGAGTATGTATACTGAGAAGCAACATAGATGGACGAATGTTCAGTTTCTTTTAATAACCTTGAGGTGTTTGAACCCTCTGCATCTTTAAAATGTGTGAAGTGGTAGTTTGGGAAGGATCTGATACTGCAGATGTATCTCGTTTGATGCTGCTCTGAGCAAGTTTCATCTAGGACTTCCACACCATTAATGTCTTCTGGAAATGCTTCATTTCCGTCTTGCTTTGTGTCCATTTTGCTGGCCTCTAATACAGGCAAAATTGGATTTTGGGGGAGGAGGGGGGGAAGGGTGTTTGTGTTTTGGTTTTTACGTTAGAGTAGACACAAAACTCTTTGATCCTGCAATACTGGGAAAAATAAACAAAGGCATCTTGAAATTACGGCGATTTTATAAAACAGGATTAATTGTAAGGTAAAACAAACATCTGCAATAGTTTCTGACTGTTGTTTTAAGGGAGCTGGTTCCTGGCGTGCTTCCTGAAGTTGCATTAACAACCCATGTGTGTACTGTGGATGTTAACTCTCTTTTCTTGGTTTCTGGCAAATGTTTGTACGTTTAGCCTCGCAGCCTAAGCACTGTGGTGTGAAATGTTTTAATGACCATGAAAACGACGGGGAAAGAAGCTCATGAAGTGAATGCCACTGACAGATGGGGCAAAAGTTTGTCTAAGAATCGCAAAAAGACATTTAAAATTCTTGGTATTAAAATCTCTGTATGATATCATTGATTCTAATAGATACTCAAATTCTAGGAAGATGGAGCTTGTGCTGTGATTATAGAAATTACAGTAGCAATTGTACTTCTTCCAACAGGTAACATTCCAGGCTTGCAGCATTTCTGAAGCAAGATATCTCTATGATCAGCTAGCAACAATCTGTCCAATTGTGGTAAGTAGTGCACTTCAGTCACATGGACTATTCAATGTGCAAAAGCTGCTAAACGTAAAAAATAAAATCTATATGAGGAAAAACCCAGATGCTAGTGAGAAATTTAGTATTTCCATGGAAGTATTAGTGTCTCTTACTGTGCTGTCACATGACATTGAGTAAGTCTTACTATTCACTCCGAAGAGATTTCATGCATCTGAACTGTCACCAGGTGACCTTTGTGTGAGTACAATCTCTAAAAACATATATGGTACCACAAAGAAAAAGATGACTGTTTCTCATCCTCTCTTTCCTGCTTCCCACACGCGTAAGACTTCTGTCAAACACCTCTGCAAATGCATTTGAGGCCCTTTTTCAGGGAAACAAAACAAGGTCACAGCTTAAAGAGTTTTTATAGTTTCAACTCCTGTTTGACTTTATGGAAAATTTCAACTTAAGTGGCTTACATGTGTCCCTTTTGTGAGCATCTAGAGACAGGTATTATAAAACAAAGTATCAGCCTGTTTTACATGGTAAGCTCCAGCTTTGAGTGAGGTATGTTCCAACTCTGTTGATGAAGTGCCTGGCCAATATGCTAAACAAAATAAAATGATGGCCAAGTGAACTTTTTGGAGGTGTGCAAGCAGAATACTTGCTGCTTCATCATGAAATTGCTTATATGTGTATCAGCTCTCTGTTCCTGAAGTGCTGACCCATAGGCATAATAAATTTGGAGAAAATCAGATGCCAGTTAAATAACACTATTTCTCTGTGTAGCTATTTTCTGGAGATAGGTTTTTGAGAGGTTTGTGATGTGATGGGCTTTCAGCTCTATGCTAAAATGAAGTCTATAGACTTCAGTTACTTCTTGGACCAACAAGTTTCCCTTTCCTGTGAGATGAAGATACTACTTTTGGTTTCTTGGCTTGTCCTTTCTTTCCATATCAGGCTCTATTTTGTTTTAGATGGCGTTGAGTGCTGCGTCTCCATTCTACAGAGGCTATGTGTCCGATATTGATTGTCGCTGGGGAGTAATCTCTGCATCTGTAGATGATCGAACACAAGAAGAGAGGGGACTGCAGGTAAGTAAGGTTAGGTAGTAGGCCTCTTTTTTTTTTTTTTCTTCCCCTTTAAGACGGAAGACGGAATACTTGAGCTTTCTTTAGTGTCGGATTCTCATCAGGGATTCTGATGACTATATGCAGGGAATGTGTGTTCTTCGTAGTAAATATCTCCTATGAGAGGAGATGTAAACATTCCCCTTAGTTATATGGTGTACGGTAGTAAATACATATTTTTAGGTATGGAATTCCAGTGAAACTCCACTTTGACTCTTCCGCAGCTTGCTGAAAAAGTCTGTATGTGATGAAATTTTGCTTTCTGTACTTGAGCCCAAAAGGCAGAAGTTGCTTTGTATTAAATGGCAGGTGATGCCGAATAAGTTCTAATATAAACTGGAACTGCATGAAAGGAGCCAGTCATCAGAACTTGAACTTAAGAAATTTGTCTAAGCAGCAGTTAACATCCAAGACATCTTCAAACTTATTTAAAAAAAAAAAAAAAAAACTTGAAATGATTATTGAAATACCTGGTTTAAGAGCATCTCTAATTATGTGTGCATAATGAAACTGTATTGGTACGTGTTGTCGTAGCTATAATAACACTTTCCGGATACTTAGATTTATTTTGAAATGTTGTGTTACTTCAGGAGAACACTTCCGTTTTTAGAGAAGTGTAGCCATTATGTTTGGAAGAGTGGACTGTTTTGTCATTCAAATGTATGTCTATGAACAAAGCCATCAATTCCAGGATGACTTTCTGTCAAGCTTATTTAAGACTCGTGCTAATAAGATCTTTCTTGCACACGTGCATGTCTGTACATCTGGACTTTCCTTTCATTTTTGAAGACTCAATATCGTTTGAAAAATCTTTGAAGCTGTAGTTCTTTTTAGACAGGGTAATAATTCTCAGATAAGTGTCATGAGTGAGCAAAACTCGGGTAACGTTATTAACAAGCTGTTAAAATATTGTATTCTTAAATTATATAGCCACTGAAGAACAACCATTATAGAATCAGTAAATCCAGATATGATTCCATAGACAGTTATCTATCTGAATGTGGTGAGAAATACAATGACATTGATTTGACAATAGACAAAGATATCTACGAGCACCTGATAAAGGAAGGTAAGTGTTTGCCTCATTATGAGCAGGTTTAGAATACTGCTTGCAGTGTGTGGGGATATTTTGCTTGAAGTTGTAGTCTTTATTTCATTCGTTGTGCATCCCTGAGAGTAGTGACTGCTGCTCAGGAGGTATCTGTGTGGTCTGGTCCTGAGAGTAAAAATAGTGATTTGTAATGGAAACTGTGCCCAAGCTTCCAGCTTGAGAAGCTTGGTGTTTGATACGTTAATGTTTTATCTTTGTGGAGAGAGAGTAGAGCTGCCTTAGGAACTGTGACACAGGTGCATCAGGAAACAGGAAGAATGGCAGCTACACCAGTGTTCAGCTGCTATTTCCAAGCAAGAGCACATTCTCTTTTCTCTTTAATCATTTTCTTCCCTCCCCGAGTCATCGTTTAAGCGTTAACAGGATGTGGTGGGTTAAGGTAGCCTTGCACCACTGGATGTTTTCAGTCTTGTTTCTTGTAAAACGTATCATTTCCTAAAGCCTGCTTTGTGGTCTCTGACCTATCTCTCTGAATTTTCATTTTGTAGGTATTGATCACCTTTTGGCACAGCATATTGCACACTTGTTCATTCGAGACCCTTTGACTTTGTTTGAGGAGAAAATACATCTAGATGATGCGAATGAATCGGACCATTTTGAGGTTATGTCTGGTTAAGAGCAATTTAATAAATAAATACTTAAAATTGCTTATTCTCTGTAGTACTGTTCAATTAGAGGATGGCTATGTTATCTGATAATATTGTTCTTTTCCTGCGTTTTTCGCTTACTCCAATTAGTTCTTTAGCGTGTGACTTTGCAGTTACAAGCATGCTTATTGCTGTATATTTCTAAACTGTTTTGTCATTTTTTTAGGAGAAGATGGTGGCTCATACTTTCAACCCAATAAAACAGAGAGAGCCCAAACTATAGCCGTGTAGATAACTGTTGTGGGGAACTGCCGTCTTTTATGGCTTGCTAAAAGCTATTTTGTATGATGCATTTATATATAAGTGCATGTCTTATTACGTAGATTTGTGAAAGAATGACTATGATAATGATAAGTATTTCTAGTTTTGGATGCATCAGCCCTCTATAAAAAGGTCGGTCAAGCTCTGCCTCATAGTATCTTGTATGTAATCCTCAAACAGCACAATATAAGGAGGTATGACATATTTGCCACACCTTAGGATGGGTAGCTACGTTACGGCTTTTAGGGAGTCATGCCTCTTTATTTGGAAGTATTTCTCTGTAATTTGATGGGCTGCTCTTGGGGAAACTAATGAGACTCTGGTTGCTTGTTTGTTTTTTTGTGACTGTGCTGGAGAATGGTGCATATCTTGACTGTGACAGATGACTTCATCTGCTTTGCAGAATATTCAGTCTACAAACTGGCAGACGATGAGATTTAAACCACCACCTCCAAATTCAGATATTGGATGGAGAGTGGAATTCAGGCCTATGGAGGTAAGGAAGGAGTCCACATGCACAAAAGCATGTTCACTTACGACTGGAAAAACACCAGGCGTTCTGCCATCCACTGTCAAACCCTTATTACTTCTGCTGTGTTTTCTCCCCTCTGAATTGGTAGGCGCAAGTGGAGTGGACAGCAGTGCTTAATCAAAGGCGAACTGTGGGAACGTAACTGACAAGGGGATCTACTGTAGCATATTAAAAGCATGCTAATGGAGTTGGGGTGATGGGGAGAGGAATTAGGCTTGCATTAAAGCAGTTGTAAACAAAGCGTGTGCAGTTCCTGGGAAACTGTACTACTTGAGTACTTTTATTGGTACGGAACAATTCCGCTGGCGGTGTTTTGTCTTTCACAAGTGCTTGTGTCTTACAGCTTTCTATTTCTGAGCTCTCTAACTTCAGTCCCTTTAAAGTGGAAATTTGAGAGCTATTACGCATTTGTAATTACACAGAGAGCCTGAAGGTGCAGGTTATTTAAACACAAGTGTGTTTTGGCACTGGATTAAAGGGTTGAGGCTGTTGGAGTGAGTGTGCTGCAATGTGCATTTGAATTCAGCGTCGATGATGCCAGCACGCCCGTTGCCGTCTGTGCTAGTAGACAACATGTGAATACGTTATTACAAGTATCTGCATGAACATTTGAGTCAATCTGTTTTAAACTCTTCCAGATAGCTATCTATTTCTGTGAGCGTATTCCAACTAAAGTAATTTAGTCTTTAATCTTTTCATGTCTAGGTCCAATTAACAGACTTTGAAAACTCTGCGTATGTTGTGTTTGTGGTGTTGCTCACCAGAGTGATTCTGTCATATAAACTGGATTTCCTCATTCCTTTGTCCAAGGTAGGTGTGAAATATAACATTTATTGAAGCTAAAGGCATAGTAATTGAGTCAAGTTTCATTTTTACCCTCTGCAAGTTGGGAACTAGTATTCATACATTTGCAGAATACTCATTTCCATCTTTCAGTCGGTTTTCGTCTGGACCATTACTTTACCATCAATTCCAACTCTACGATATTAAACAACTGTTTTACGATATTAAACAACTGTTTTACTACTATCTAATAGGATTAAGCTTATCGATAAGTGGTTAGCTGTTTCTGGTTTACCTTTCATGGCAGCATTAAAAATGGCCAGTGGACACTTCTTCAGAGACTGTTTGTCTATACAGAAATTGTTAAAAATCTAGGGAAAGCAAGGATGTCTTGATTTGATTAGTTCTCTTAAAAGCAGCTGAATTTGGCTTTCAGTAATGGCAATAAGAACGTGGCTGCCTCTTACTTGTTCCTGTTGGGCATTCCGTTTTGGCTTTGTCTATCAAAGGTAACTCAACATGAATTACGAAAATAACTCTTTCCTAGGCTGCCAAACTTCAGTCTTCCACACACATTTGATTTTCCCCGAAGAGCCACATCTTCAGCAGCCAATATAAATGTATGCCGCCTTTTCCTTTCTCCACTTACTCCTGTTAATTAATGCATATAAACACATGGATTTGGCATTGTACTGAATTCATTCTCCCAAAGCAAAGGTTTTATTATGACATGTATGACATTCAGTAGAAGAGGTCTGTCCTACAACAATAATCAGTGGTGCATTCTGAGAACAATAAATAAAAAAAATAGTAATCTACTGTAATTTGCATTGTTCAGCACCAGTGACCAGGTACTTTAACTCTCTGTGTAAGTTTATCTTGCTGTCTTACATTCAGTGAAAGAATAAAAGTTAAACTTCAGGCAACTGTTCCTATGTGAATTCTGTATAAGGAGCAGGGAATAAACACGCTTAAAAGCTTTGGAGAAATCATATTACAGTTATTAAACGAAACAGTTCTGTAGCGACTTCATTCATTCATTTAAACAGGGCAGTGCTGCAAAATTATTTTTTCCTTAATCTTGTCTGCGCAGTTGCTAGATTGTTTTGGATGAAATGTACTTGCACATCTTCCTGAGATACCTGACAAGAAAATTGTCATTCAGATGGATAGTCCTACTGTGTATCAATAGTATCTTGCTGCTTTTCTTAGTGTTTTTAACTTCAGTATTTTTCTCCATTTCTATTATTAAGTCTAAAAAAAATAATTGATTGAAATGGCAAACTTAAAAGGAGGAATTCTCTTCTTGATGTCAGGGAGTTCAGACTGCATAAATAATGAGCATAAGATACAGCAGTTTAGCACTCATCAGTAGTGTACTTAGGCACTGCATGCAGAATGTCTCATAAATAAAGTGCAAATTTTTAGCTAACGAGTACCAGTTAAGACTGAAAAAGAGACTGAGTATAGAAGGAAACTGAACAGAATTGGGAGGGGTGGGTGTGGGGGGAAAAATCAAGTTGTTTAAGCCTGCAGAGCAGTTCAGCACATAACACAGTACAGAATTGCACAACCTCTGGAAGACGAAACCTGCCTCTGCTGCTTAGAAGAATAAGGGTTTATGGGACTAATCTCTCAATCTCTGCTGTCTAATCAAGTATGGTTGTCTTCCAGTCAGCTAGAATGCTTCTAATCTTTCAAAGCGACTTGTTGCATAAATACATTACATAATGAAAATAGGCTTTTGTAAACAAAGCTTTGAAAGTTAAGAATTTAATGAAGATTTTGCGTTGCACTTAAAAGGTGAACCAAACAATTCAGCAAGTCTTGGCCTTTTTTCTTAAGGCAATGGTAAAGCTAGGTATCTGAAAATCAAACGATGGACAAAATCTCCTATCCAGAAACTTTGTGACATTGCTGTGTAGCTTTTTGATAATATTACAACTTAGAGGGTTTTTTTTTCCACTAACAGTTTAATTTTATCTAATTATCTGATAGATGTTTGCATTTGGGGATAGATAAATGAATCCGATATTACGTGAACCTGAATATTATGTCTGCGAGTTTTTAATACAGTGGTGGCTCTTCTAAAGACTTCAATGATTTTATTAATGAAAGCAACAGACTATGGGTAGGGAAATGTGAGTTCTCTTGTTCTGTACTAATTTAAATTGCATCTAGACATTCATAGAGAAGTTTGCCAGATGAGATGCAACCTGATAATCAGAGCTATTGCTCTGTTTCTGTTCAGACTTAAGATTAGCATTGCCTATTCTAACATAGCAGCCTATTAGTAATACCATTACCTTTTCTGCTGGTGACCTAATTTTATAGAAAGTCATCTCTTCCTGGTTTTGCGCAAGACCCTTGAAAAAATGAAATACCTCCAGAGCTTGGCCTTGTGTGGTGGAATAGTGAGAAACATAGCAGATCTTCCAACTAATGAGACCAAAATGTGAGAGTTTCGAGATTCCTACTGTCTGAAAATTTTCCTTCACTAGGTGGATGAAAACATGAAGGTGGCCCAGAAAAGAGATGCTGTCCGGCAGGGGATGTTTTACTTCAGGAAGGATATTTGTAAAGGTATTGCAACAAGCAATCTGACAACAGTGTTGTCAATGTTTTGTGTGCCTGTTGCCTTCTAACTACTACTTCCTTTTCCTTTGTCGCTCACTAAGGTGGAAATGCTGTTGTGGATGGATGTGGCTCTGCACAGAACGGCACAGGAACAGAAACAGAAGAGTACGCCTTAATGAGCATAGATACAATTATCAATGGGAAGGTCGTAGCCTCTTCTATCTGGACACACAACCTTTCCCTCCGTTCCACCCTCCCAAAAATTAGGTCAAGTATCTTTTGTGCTGACTGTGTTCTCTTATACAGGAAGGATTCTTTCCTGGTTTGATCCCAGTTTTGAATTCTTATCTTGAAAACATGGAAGTGGATGTGGACACAAGATGCACCATCCTAAACTACCTGAAGTTGATAAAAAAGAGAGCATCTGGTATGTCTGACCTTTTTGGACAGTGATTTTCCTGGCACTTTTCTACTTTGAGAGTAATTGAGATATTTTCTAGCTATCAATTGGGTAAAACTGGTGGCAACTGCTGCGCTCTGGTTAAGTATTGAATCGTTAGGCAGAGGACCGGAACGTGTTTCCTGGCTTAGATCTAGACCTATTTAATTCTGACCTTAAATGTTTCAGGATCCATGTTAGAACTTAAGTTAGGAGTAACTGATACAGTTTGTGGGTAGTATCCAATGCAAGCATCGCTTTCCAACACCACTTAATTCAGCTTTTGCCACTGTGTTACCTACTTTGTAGTAGTGTGTTGCACATATACTAGTCCCTTCGTCCTCTAACTTGAGTGCTCTAAGGACATGCGAGGGTGAGTCTGATAGCCAGTTATTACTGGTGTGACTCCAAAGTGTGCTGGCATTCATAAGATTAAACTGTGGTATGCTAGAGCATGAGGCCTTGTCTTTAGCTCCCTGATAAGAAAGCCCTGCTGTAAGGAGCAAAACTCCTTTTTAAAAAAAAAAAAAAAAAAAAAAAAAAAACCAGAGCAAACCAGCTTCTTCCCCTGCCTCCCCCATGAATATTTTCGAAGATAGGCAATATAATGGCTTTTCCTGCTCCTTTTTAAAATGTACTAGTATAATGATTAAAATTCGCTCAGAATTGGGCACAAAGTCTGTAACAGTTTTATACCGTTCTGTGTGCACATCACCTGTATGCTTGCCTTGCTATACACTTAGATAGTTAGTTACTTTCAGTCTCAAAAGTCAAATTATTTCATAAAAAAGGATGTAAAACCTATGAATATATCTTAAGTGTTGCATTCCTTTTTAATACTTGAAAATTACTGTAGAAATTTCTAGCTAAAAGCATTATTAAAGCTGAGGTGAAAAATCGGGACTTTTCCACACGTGCTAAATGTAATAGTTCGGTAGTGCTTCAGAATGGTAACAAGCTCTCTAATTACTCCTTTCACTGAAAATATTCCTTCCTAAGGCTGCTTGTTCATAGGAAGTTTCGGGTTTCTGTCCCTCAAATAAGGTGGACTGGGGTTTTGATGTTTGGCCTAATTGAATGAGAGATGAGAAACCAGCAGGAAGAAAACTTCCTGAAGCACATCAGGCACTGCAGTAGCAGTGTTTTCTTGGGTTTTGTCCTTCAGAAGAGTGCTGTTCAAAAAGTAAAAGAGAGGCATACGTTTAGTTTTGGTTTTGTTCTTTTTTTTTCCTTCCCCAAGAGCTAATTACTTCAGGCTCAACACCATGTGGCCGGTGTTCTCGTTCTGAAGAACTTGTTAGCTTCATGGTGCAAACAAAACCTTTCAAGTTGTAGGCACTGCAAAGATCAGCTCATGTTTTTACAGAGGCTTAAAAGGCAGGACTGAGGAATCTAGGATTTATATCTCTTCAACTGTGATAAACTTAAATGATTTTAAAATATAGTTCTCAGGAACTAGGATTCACAGATGAAAAGCATTAGCCATTGTGTTACTGTGCCATGATATTTCTCAAGCAAGAGCTTTGGATTTTTCTGTCTTACTGTCCATCTTAAATCAAATGTTCCTGAAATGCAGCCCATCTAGCACGGGACATGTCTTGCCTACAAAGAATGGTCATTTTTCAGATTTCTCTCCTCAGATGGTGAACACAGAGCACTTGTGTGCGTAAAACACTGCAGTGTTGCTGCTGTGGCTTTAACCCTGCCCTGGCATAGTTGGTCTCTGCCAATCGCCTCTTCTCATGCAGCAAAGATGTGAATTGCCCTTGCTGGTTTGGGTCTAGCTGGTGTGCAGCTGCCAGTACGCTCGATCAGCCTGCGGATTCGCCTAGGCAAGCAGCAGCTAGTGACCACCACAGTCGCAGAACAGCAAAGAAAGGAGTGTTAAGGTGGCCCGCCACCTTGTCCTGACACTCTTCCCCAGTTTCTGGCAGTCTGCAGCATAGGTGTTTTCTCAGCCAAAGGTGGCGTGGTAATTGTGGTGCCTAGTTACTGTTCATAGGCATGGTTTCCATGGTATATATCTCTGTTCATAGGCATGGTTTCCATGGTATATATCTAATCCCTTTTGAAGCAATTATACTTCTGGTCCTCACAAAGTGCCACAGTTTTTTTACATGCTCTGTGAAAAATGTACCTTTTTGCTTGTTTGAACTTTCATTTCATGATACACCTTCTAGTTCTTGTATTGTAAATAATGGCTCTCTACTCACTGTTTATCAGCATTCATGATTTCGTAAAACTGCTTTGGTCTGTTGTCTCTCCCAATCCTGAGACTTCCTTCATCTTGCTTCTCCTTACGCAGAAGTTGTCTCATACCTCTTATCTATTTACAGTGCCTTTTTCTGTTTTTGCTGTCTTCTTTCTGAGAGCTGCATGCTGCGTTCAAGATGTATGGTAGATTTCTGCAGTTACAGTGGGTGTCACTTATTTCCAGTGGAGAGTAATTGAGCTGGCTGACCACTAGGTGTCTGTGTTAGCATGAGTTAGGCTGCTCTCTAGTTTCTGTAAGCTCTGATAGCATGTAGCAGGTTTTAGTTCCAGAATTTCTGTTGTTATGCGCTGGTAATCCCCTGGCCCTATTGATTTTCTTACAGGTCCCCAGCTTCTGATTTGTTTAAGAGATTTCTCGTTCGAGGGTATAATGCCTTCAACAAATGCTTCCTGGATAATTTTTGGTCCGCTTTTATGTATGCGTGCGCACGCGCACACACACACACACACGTGTGTGTATATATACACATATAGTGTGTGTGTGGATACGTGTGTGTGTGCACACGCACATATGTACATACATATAAAATGCTGAGGTTCTAACTGCAATGAAAATGCAAGAGAACTGACTTCCACTTCTGCTAGGCTCTTCAGGCATCCTGGCAGTCTACGTTGATGCCTTGTTATCAAAGTTAGCTTAATCTGTACTAGTTGGAGTTTGATGGTATATAGAGCATTCAGGAGTAAGATTCAACAGCCTGAACAGTGGCATCCATCTGGTGTCCATTTGCTGCCTCGTCAGGATGCAGGTCTCCTGCAAGTAGTGTGTGTCACTTGTTGGCCCTGTACGGCCCTCTCAAGGGCCCATACGTGCCGACGACTGACCTTTGGTCAACTAAATCCTGCCTAGGTGAGCAGAGGCACTGTGTGTGCAAACCAGGAGTTAGTATATTTAGGAACCTGCCTATCTTCTGCTGGGGGAGCTGCCAGCACGGGAAAATAGCAGAATAATCCAAGGTAGACAGGGCCACACTAGGAGCTGATGTACATAATTATTGTGGAGGTCTCCTGAGTGCAGTTTGGTTTGTCTCAGACAGCTTTTCTGTTAAGTGTTTTGGGACTTCTTGCTATAATCTGTTAGTAACACCTGTTCCAGTAGCTGAGTATAATACTTTTCTCTGCGTTATCTTGTTACAACGTCTGAAAGTTTGAAGATTGTTCCAGACAAGTAAGTTTTGGGCTATTCTTGATATGTCAGTCAAATTATACATCAGGTTTAGCCATAGTTAAAAACATATGCATATACCTCATGATAACATTCTACATATTATATACACAATAAATACTATGTGTTAAGTGTTGTAAATTGGGTGTGTAAACGATCTGAAATTTGACTTCCAATTGCCCACAGGAGAGTTAATGACAGTTGCCCGATGGATGAGGGAATTTATCGCACAGCATCCAGACTACAAGCAAGATAGCGTGATAACTGATGAAATGAATTATAGCCTTATTTGGAAATGCAACCAAATCGCACAAGGCCAGGCAGAGTGTCCTGAACTATTGGGAGTAGGATTTAACAAGAAACAAAGCGGAAACAAAACTGGCTCTTTGTAATGAATGTTTCCTACACAGTAGAAAGGTTCAAGCATTTTAGCAAAGCACTAGCAATGGTACTGTGAATCTGGTACAGCTTCATGGTGTGAAGACCAAAACAAGTGATACTGCACTATAGAATGGGCCAATCTGCCTAAATATTCATTTAAGGCGTCCTGAAGTGGGCATATTCTTATTGTTAAGGTTTATACAATGTACATGTAAATAGTAAAATATTTTTATGATTAACATCAATGTATTTTAATAACATTGTATCTAAAGTTATTGTGAATTAGCCTGTAACTTTTTTATGCTTATTCTAGAAAGAGAAAAATTGTCCTGAACAGCTTTGTAAATGTAATGGTACTTGTATATTATATGCATTCCAATTACTGAATGTTTCCTGTAATTTTTCTAACCTGGAATGTGCTAAGGAATCTCCCTTATTGTTTCCAAAAAAAAAAAAAAAAGTCTTCTGGACCTCCTTGATTCATAGAGACTTCTCCCTTCCATTCTGATTTTGAAAGTATGTAAGAACATATAAATGCATGTGCATCCTCTTTGTTAATCTTCACAGCAGTTTCTCAGTTGCCACAAGACCTGCACCCACCCATCAGCTGTACAACTGGGAGGAACTGGTCTGTCTTCGTCCAGATAACACAAGTGCATCAGTCTCCTGATAACTGTAGTCTTCAGGAAAGGGCTGCCATGCTCCTATGTAACCCGCATTTCCTGCATAAAGACTAACATAAATGTATCCCCTTCCAGATGCATGGTTGTTCCTTTCCCCCTCTCAAGTAAGTTTGTGTGCTGTCATAGTTCAAAAATTTGCCCGAGTACTGTCTGATTTTAAAAAAGGCGTAAGCGGGGAAGGTGGAGTAAGAGGAGTAAATAAGAGCTAAAACAAAGATCCCTTTACAAAGGAACCAGAGATACCTGCTCTGTTCTGTGGCACTCCTTAACTGCTGTTTCACCTCCCCCTTGCTGCTGTTTCGTCAACAATGACTGCAGCCAAAACCAAGGACCTGCTGATGCTTTCCAAAGGTTGAGTTTCTCCTCTGTCCCTCAAAAAAAACTATTGTAAGTATTTTTGTCAGCATGTTTATTTCCTATAAGGTACTTGATGTAGACAGCTGAGATACCTCTAGAGCTGTAGGCATGGGCAACTTAATCCCCTGTAAAAAAAACCTGATCATGAAGTGTACTAATCCTTTGAAATGGGACTCAGTGCTGGGAGTGACTGCGAAGTATTTAAAACTTAGCCATTGTAAATAAAGCAAACTTATGGGGCCTTTTAAATTTCCCTTCTTCACTGGCTTCAGAAAATGAATTGTGTTACAGGTAGATTATGCAAAGCTTCATGCAGGCATATGCAAGTATGTAAGGTGAAACAATCTTTAAAAAGAACTAATGGAGAAACTGCAGTGAAGGTGCACTAACAGGAAGCTTTTATGTGCTGACATTAGAATTTGTGCTGTGTTCCCAGGTGTGCGTTAGAGAATAAAAGAATGCTTTTTTCTGCTGTGGTGGATTTGTTTTAATGAAGGTGTAAATGGCAGTCATATTGCAATTTAGTTTCTGGAATAAGGCAATTAAAAATAAAATTTGCAGTATGTGTTGGTTACTTGTGTGAGTCAAACGTGCGTTTTCAGAAATGAAAAGAGAAGAGTTGCCTGTCTGGCTAGTACAGCTCACATTACCCACACCAACTTTTTTCTTAGTGAACTGTCTCAGAAGAACTAATGGCAAATACTTTACCAGTGGTAGCATCTGCCTACTACAGTTCATGTTTGGAAGATGTCTTACAAAAGACTAGAATGCTTTTCTGCTTGTACTGAATCAGCTTGTGTTCCTTTTTCCTTTAATTGACACTAAATCACTATTCCGGGCTGGTTAGGTGGCCGTTGTCCTCTGGGAGAGAACGGTTTTTGTCTTAACACTTTAAAAATGTGGCTTAAATTTTCCCTTGTCTGTTCTTGTATAGGTATTTTAAGAAAGGATGGGAAAGATGAACTGTAAACCTGCTGCTTGATGATTAATTAAGGTTTCTATTGCTGTGGTTTCTAAGCAGTTTATATTCCCCAGCTGAAGAGTTAAAGTATGTGCTCCAAGCTGTTCTAGGTGGTGTGATAAGATGATGTCTCTGGCACAGGGCAGAGCAGATCAGCATTACTTTAGGTGGAGGGCAAGTTTTACCGCCAATGTGGAGTAGTTGCTAGCTTGAATATACCTTAGAGGTGACTAAATACAGTCATCTGCACATGCTTTTAGAGGTGGAGAAGCGTTCCCTAGGCCAAGAACTGTGCTGGCAGACTCCAGCCAAGCTTTAGTGGAAAGCATGACCAAACCCCCTTGGGCTATGAACTTAGCATTTTTGGTCTTGCAGTCATCAAGTGCTTTCATGGAAATAATGACCTTTCAAAAAGCTGCCTAAGCAAAGGGAAGAAAAGAAGCACCAAGCACCTGAGGTGAAAAGTGATTTGATTCCTTGCCTGGAGAACTTAGTAACGTGTTAATCGTGGCACTTCCCACAAGCATCTTAATGTTCTTGCCCCAATTCAATTGCAGTGATTGAACCCTTGCCTTCTGCTCTGTTTTCTGTTAAGAGAACCTATAGTTCTTGTTTCCTGAGTCCTCAGTCCTATAGGTGGTAATGTCTTACACTTTGTTCTGAATAGTCAAACTGCCTCAGTAAGTGCCCTTTTTTATTTTTTTTTTAATTATTTTAGCTGTGGTTTAATCGTGTTATGTCTTTAAAATGTAGTTCCTTTTGTATGTGTGTGCAGTTCTGCAAGCAATGCTGTTGCAGGAGTGGTGGATCAGGAGCCTCATGTAACACACTCGGGTTCTGTAGCAGTAACCTGATTGCCTGGGTGAGATGATAAAAATCATGCCGTTTGTAGAAGTTGCACTGAGGTCTCTTGAAAACACGATTAATCTATTTTTTGTAGCCGTTTTGTTTTTGCTGTTTAGTAGGTTATGTTCTACATGCTGATCTGGCTTTATGGCAAGGAGGCTGGTCGCAGAAGCTGTGAACGCAGAGGCAGAGGTTATTTTCAGTCGCAGTTTGGATACTGTGAACTGGATTCTAGCAGGAGAGGAGTATTCAAGTCACTTCCAAGAGTCAGGCCCTTCAAACTGCCTCTTAAGATAAACACGTGCATGAAAAAATGTGCCAGTAAGGATGTTCTCTTGTCCAGGACAGCAGAGGCAGGTGACACCTTGCTTTCATGTGTACTGGAAGATTGCTACTGACAGTACAGAACCTATTATGTACAAGAGAACAGAAAGAAAAATGCTGCATTTAATAATTACAGCAGAAATCAGGGATCTCAGATTCTGAAAGACCTAATGATTTCTTGCAATTTTCTTGAAGCAAGTTTTGAGGGAGAAAAGAACAACTTACATTGCTAAATGGCAAATTTTGCAATAAACTTATTGTACCTGCTGATGGAGGGTGGGAGTAGAGCAGTTAATGGCATGGAGCATGTGGCAGAAATAGGCACAGCTTCACTACGTTTATCATGTGAACTAAAACAAAAGCATCTTCCCAGCATTGCCTTGCTTGCTATAATCTCTTCAGTGTTTGCCTGAGTTGAAGGACACCAAAGTGCATGCTGTATATAGTGTTTTATAGGAATGAGATTGAGTTTAAATAAGGGCTGGTCCACAATCTCTCCTACTTATTACTCTGAACCACTGAGACTGAAAGGATGGAAGGGACCCACTTCAAGTGCTTGCCAAAGACGACGTGAAGGGATTCATAAACTATCTTTGATTCCTCTTTCTCTGTAGATGGGTTACTTCACAACTACCTCATCTGCCCTCCTGTAGAGCACATAGTACTGATCACTGAAAAAGGAGATGACATATTTGGTTCCCCCCTCTGATAGTGCGCGTTTTAAAAGTTTTCTCGGTCAGGCTTCACTGAGCTACAAATTAAAAGTTTAGTTGTGGTGTCCTCAGTGAAGAGAGGATCAAGTGGCAGTGGGTCCTGCCAGCCCCGGTTATGCTCAACCAGGCCAGGTGCGTCCTGGAGCTCAGACGCCTTGGCTGAGGGGAAAGCGGTGCTTAGCCTTTTTTTTATGTAAGACATCATCTAATCAAAATATTGTACTAATACAAAATAATTGAAACACAACATCATGAGGTAGCAAAATGCATTCTGAATTATATGGAAGAAATAGGGAAGCAGCAAAGGGGCAGTGGAGCAAAAGGGGAGTACAGTAGCTAGCTCATTAAATGCCAAAGATGTCAAAATCCCTAAGTTAAGCAGAATCTTTGTAAAACAGCACATTGTCCAGTCAAGAAAAACGTTGTAAGTAGGGAGGGACACAGGCAAGGGGTGCTGCGGTGCTTTGGCGCAGCTGGGACTGGCTCAGGAAGGGCCAAGCAGTGGCTCTGGCTATTTCAATGCTAGATGAAGCTACAGCTCAGGTGGCTGCTGATGGCAAATTCAGGGCAGCAACCTCCAATAAGAGCATCTGACCCCTTAAGGGTTTCTCTGATTTTTTAATCCAACCTTTTCTCCCTCTCACGTGCAGTGCTCTAGGTATGTAGTTAAAAGTGCAACAGCGATTTCCACTAGCGATTCTCCCCTTGAGAAAAAGTCTCCCTCCTTCTTTTACAGCTACCACATTGGAAAGCTCCGCTTTCCCTTTGAAGAGACATTTCACATCTTTGCTTGGAGATAGGAAGCTACAGAATACGGTGACAAATAACAAAAAGTCCTTTAATTTATTTTAAAATTCTTATTAGACTATTGCTAGTTTAAGGATACAGCTCATCACTTTATTTTGAAAGAATTTTAAATGTTAACAAGACTTTCTTTTGAGCTCAGTTTGTACTGGATAACATAACGAATGTCAAATCCTTGTGATTGCCACAGGGTTACTTTTATTGGCCCCATGGGCTGATAGCATGGTTTCACCATCTCCTAGGGGTTTGCCACGCTGGCTGGTGGTCTCCCTTCCTTCCTTCCTTCTCTGGTGGGTCCATCACCTTCAGTGGGGCTCGTCCTGGGGGTGAACTGGACATGGCAGCACCCATGCGCAGTCCCTCAGACCTTCGTGTCAGCCCATGCAGAGCTTGGCTCTTCTGCTCTCCTTCCAGGGAGTGTTGTGATTTAGTGTGAATCATGAATGTTGCATTAAATACAAGTTGAAATATCCAAAAGTCCCACCCACCCATAAAGTGGGTCCTTTGGCAATGAGAGGGACAGGCAACGCTGCTGTGTGGACGTGCGCAGCTCGGTGCCTCCTGGCAGGTGCCAATACACCGTTTTTGCCATGATTCTGCCAGGGCTACAGTGTCACCAACCACTGCAGAGGTGCTGCTCTCCCAACTTTAGAAACACACTGCCTTTTCCAGATATCTCTATAATTTTGTGGAAGTGCAGTCCATCTTTCCGAAGCACACTGTTAACAGTGTTTCCCAACCAGCTACCGAAAGCTGGTTTCCCGCAGGGTTTCTTTAATAAACATTTAAATTTCCCAGGAACAATATACTTCATTCTGAATATCCACAACTTGTTTATATTATTTAATATAAAATCTACTGAAGCCAATGCAAATTTCCTTTTCATTTCTGCTACGTACATTTGTAGACAATGCAATGTTTACACTTCTGTGCCTTAGTGCATGCCTCTTCTCTCTTGTCTCAGAGAGAATTGCTTGGTTTCTCTAGTGTGGCCATTATATTCAGTGGTGATTCCCAGGGTTCTTCTGAGCTTCAGGAGAAGAGCAGCAGGCATGCCAGCCAATCTGCTGTGAACTTTGGTGGGTGCTAAAGAGCCGGTGACTTCCCAGCCTGTGCATCTGTAGCTAGCAGCTCTCAGCGGATCCTAGTAAAAAAGACATTTGAAGCCCAGATCTAAAGTGTGAACACTATATATATAGTAACTATTTACTGAGTCTTTATTCTCCTAGGAAAGTGAAGTCAGGAAGGAATTTGCGAGCCTCTGGGATCTCTGTCCTTTCCCTCTCCAACAGAAGGATTCACGCAGTAAAGCAAGCAGAGAAGTAAATACAAGTTCCTTAGCTTGGTGAGCTGTTGGTATGAAGCAGGCTCTCCTCCCACCACTTTGTCTGCAGCTCAGATTTAAAAGGCGTCTGAGTTACAGTTAACCACACCACTCAGGTAGGTGTGGTGTGTCAGTGAGCACATTGCCAAGCAGGAGCCCACCTGATCTCTGGTAGAATTGTATCAAAGTTGACAGGTGTGATACTGATTCTGACCGTACTGGCAAAATATATAATTTGATTTGTTCCCTCAAAACTTCCCTGACTTATTTTATTTATACCCTTCCAAACCACTACTGCACTTAGGCAGAGGAACATCTAAAGCCTGCAAGATTGCTAGCCTTCAACAAAAACCTTGTCCCGCTTCAGACACGCTAGTGAACAAGTCCACTCAGCGTCACACTCCACTTTTGGGTATTTCTGGGTCCTTCTAGCAGAGACACCATCTCTCCCCAGATGCGCCACCTCCTGGGCAACAGGCTGCCCAGGGAGGTGGTGCAGCCGCCATCCATGGGGATTTTCTGACCTTGCTGGGACAAAGCTGGAGGTTGGCCAAGTCCTGCTCCAAGCAGCGTGTTGAACTCGATGGCTCCCAGATGTTCCT